GAAAAGCTGGAGGGGCTGAATCACTGTTGCACAGAGATGTCTGTTCTTAGAAGCTGATAACAAGGAGGGCACTATCTGGTTCTGTAGGACACTGTTAAGTTTTTTTTTTTTTTTTTAGGGGTGGAGGGGAATGGTGCCATCTGCCATCTACAGCTCTCTTTAGTCATTACTGACACACAGCTGATACAGAGAAGGACAAGGGGAAACAAAAAGTGAGTGGAAAGAGAAATGGAATAAATTATTATTACTATGAGTTTCATAAGGTAGTGTAGAATAAAATAATGAAAATTATTCAACATGCAAGCCAAAATAGAAGAAATTCACAGGTGTTTGTTAGATAAAATGAGTAAACAAACATCAGGATGATAAAGAGCACACCAAAAATATTAAGAATAAAGTTGTGGAGAATTTTAAAGCACAGTTAAGATTCAAAACAAATACAAGCTTCGAGCAACTCATAGAGAGTTCAAAGCACAATCTGAAAATGGAAAAGAAAAGACACATCTGCAAACCTAAACTGACAGGCAGAGATCCACAGATCAGGTGGGAGAATCGTTCATAAAAAGCTGCAAAAACTCCAGACTAAGGTCGTCATTGACCTTCAGGCAATAAAGCAATCTAAAACAAAAGCACAGAGGTACAACGGAGTAATTATGAGCATAGCAAGTTTATGTGTTAAAATAACCCAGTTAAAATCCAGGCTTAAATTTAATTGAAGTACATTTTTTGTGAAAAGTTACTAAAGCTCTGAGGGCATGGTGAGGATGTTGTAATGATGGGTAAAAAATGGGAGTGAGGAGCAGCTCTAATCATAACCATGTGTATTTCATTGCATAAATGTAATGATGTTTTTAATTTGTGTCCTAACTAAACACATCCTATTTCTAAACAGGTATACTTTAATGTCTGGAACCAAATACCATGTAATGTACATAAAATAGAGAGAACGCCAAAAACAACAGACAGTACGGCACAAATTTCAAAGTAAATCTGAAACACCACCAATGAGGCACTGCGGCTCAGTCATTTTTTGTTTTAGGTATGTTTATGTAACCAGATACTGAAGCCTTCAAGAGTTCATTTTAATGTGATGCAACAGTCTGTTACATAATTTTAATGCTTATGCATATCTTTTACACTGTGACTTTGAATCCATCAGTCAACTGCACTGGCTAAGTAACCAAAATCGTCTGCTACAGAAATCTTTATCTCTGTTTCTTAAGCAACCCTTATTTGTTTTTAAATTCCCTTTAAAATACACTCTCTCCTATGAAAGATTGGGTCCATCTTCTATGTCCAACAACAAGGACAAAGAGTATATTTTAAAAATGTCCCTGTGTAATATTGCAAAAATTTTAGTGGGACCACCTACTCCATGGCCTAGACCCAGTCTCCCTCAGAATCAGTGCCCCGGGACGGAGGGTCAGGCAGAGAGACAGCTGGCAGACCTCCCACCAGCCTGTAGGAGAGGACTAGGCTGACCCCAGTCAGATGGTGGTCTGGCTCCCAGGTAACAAACATCTGGTCCAGAGATGGGAGGGTGGTCAAACATGCGCTCGCACATTCAGAATTGACACACGCCTGACTGCTCCTGCCTTCGCTAATGAACTCGCTCTCACACGCAGGGGCACACACACTCCACACTCGGGTTTATTAGTCATTAGGATGAAAAGGTCCTCCCTCAATCAGGCTCTTCTGCACAAGATGGCAACTGGCCGCCCTAGTTGCTAACAGCTGGTCAGACAGAACTAACTGGTAGGTGAGGCTCATAAGCTCTACAGACGCAGTGAGGTTCAGTTACATCTTTTTAAGTAGGATTAATGGGGAATAGAGACAGAAAGAATGAAGTAGAGTGAGATTCATGATTGAAGATCGAGTAAGTTCATGGAGAAAGAAGAACTGAAATTTAAGGTAGTTGGTGGAAACACTATCTTTAGAAAAGGTATAAAAAAATAATTACTTGAGAAAATATTTTATCGCCCCCAAAAATTTTTTTAGGTAAAAAAAACTTTAGCAACACTTTAAATAACAATGTTTCTAAATATTGTTATTTAAAGTGTTGCTTACGGCGTGTGTGGCTTTACTTTTTCCAAAATGAAATAAAGAGAGCAGCAGTAAGTAATGGGGACAGCTGCTGTCTGCCCACAGCACAGGGTTTGTTTCACTTGCAGACCAACGAGCACCACCACTGAGCCAGACCCAAGGGCTCTCTGGGGACTAACTGGATATGAAAAATGAGGGTGAGGATATTTCTATTTTTATAGAAATAAATAAAAAATTAAAAAGCTATTAAAAGTCAGGCACAGTTAGCCCATTTGATCAACCTTAACAACGTTTTCTCACCAGCTTTTTAACCACATTTAAACCTCAGTCGACATCTTCATGTACGTCTTAATGCTGCTTAAATGGAAAACAGTGTCTTTATGTATGTTTATTCAATAACATGTTGCTAGGAGACGGGGGGTATTAAATCATAACTGAAAGACCGTTTGATAATTCAACACTTTCTTACAAGGCAAGTTAAAGTCCTTTACTTTAATTGCTGTTTGTTCAGATGAAATTGGCAGTACAGACTCATCCATCCGTGTTTTTTATTTCATGATCTATTCAAGAAAGACAAAATTAAATACCAATTATACATTTTAAAAATACACATAAAGAACAAGTTAAAAGTGAATGTCATTATTTTTATTGACTGAAAAGTATGGTTATATCTGTCTTTAGTGTTTGAATTAAATGTTGTATCAAGCAATCATCAAACATCTGACAAACTAGTTGCTTGTAATAAATATATTTATTTTACCATACATTGTGTACAAAGTGTTGTAACGTCATGCAAATATGACCTCAATGAAGCAAGTAAATGCCAATAACCACACTTACACTCTCAACACTCAGAGTACTTGTTAAAGCTCAAAGACAAGGAAATTAAACTAAACTATCTGAGCTTCTGCAGCAGCAGAAATAAGCAAGACTAAATGAGCAGCACGCCAGAAGAAAAGTAAACTATTTGGTTTAGCCGGAAAGTTCTTCTGTAACCTTGAATTCATGCAGGTACAATTGTTTGACTTCCAGCCAGTGAAACAAGGAAGGATGGAGAGAGAAAAGGAAAAGAGAGAGGGGTACACAGAAGCTGAGAGACATTAAGATGCGAGCAGCTGTGAAGGGGTATAATAAAATTGGGGCAGATAAAGTCAGGAAGAGCAGAACTTCCTATGAAAATATTTATCATTCCAGAAACGTTTGGCTACAGAGAGGTTTGGAATTAATTTGTGTTTTCTTAAGGGGGCTCAGGGGTGGGGGGCCTTCAGTGTACAGGATGGGGAATTCTTCACATCCCAGGACTTTTTAGGCTGCTGCTTATTCACAATTTATCAGACCGGGTAATAAGAACCATGAAGGCTGAGTGGAGAGAAGGGGAGATCAACTGAGAAGGGCCTCGGGTCAGCCATCGAGAGGCAGTCCAGAAATGGGGCCTGGTGTTATTAAGAGAGGAACCACAGTGTTAAATCAAACACAGTCGAGCCCACACGTTCGGTATGTGGTCTGAGCACACCGCTCGGCAGCCTCCAGCAGACCCCTGGATGTTATTTGTGAGGCTTAAAATACAGGAGATTTACTAGGATTTACAGCCTATTGAGAATAGAAACATGATATAGGTGCTATCTAAACTAATATTCTCTTTTTCTCTGAAGGTTTGCTTCAGATAATTGAAAATGACAAGAAAAGATGTGCATTGACTCTGTAATGAAAAACCTACTGGTGAGAGTGAAATTTCCAAGAATCAGCCTCCATTTACACGTATTTAATTTCCAACAGGAATATATGCAAATAAAAACTTGTTCTGGGGTCCATGAAAATGGATTTAGCCCGGATAAAAAATGTTTCCAATTACACAAATAATCAAGCAAAAATAATAATATTAAAAAAAAAAAAAAAAAAAAAAAGATAAAATTTACCACAAAATACAACTGGATTAAATATATCATAAAATGTATTTCCATAATGTCTTTCAAAGGACGGCACCAGGTTAATGGTTGCAGCTCTAAGTCTGTAGTCGAAAAGAAAAATGAAGGAATGAGTGTTAAAAAAAAAAAGCAGAGAGAGACTTTTTGGTCTAAAGTCATGAAGGGGTGTTTGGAAAAGAAAAAAAAAATGAATACCAGCTTTGAAAAATGCTGAAGTGTGGCTCCCCTAATTTCCTTTAATGACGGTCTCTGCGTGGCTGCTGGAGGCCTGTCAGTGAATTGGATATAATCTTCTGTAGTTAGGCAGAAAGTGAGCAGAAAGTGCAGCACTGATTCAACCAGAACCAAGAAAAACAAAATGTTCAATTAAAAGCGAAGGCCCTTCACGCACTTTTACCCTGAATCTTTAAATAGCACGTTGGGAGACAAATAAACCGTTTGCTGATGGCCAGTCTTGAGTTTCCCTGCTCCTCTAAATCATTTCTTAAAAATTCAGAGTGAGTGACAAACGTAATTATGTTGTAACCTATGACATAGTTTAATTAACACCATTATTATAATTAATAATATTTTTTTATTAAATTTAATTTTAAATTGAAAATATATTTAAGGTATGCAATGCGTTCATATGAAACATTTGGCATTAAAAATGCAATACAGTTAGACACAGATATAAAGTTTTTTAAAAACATATATTTTTAACTTAAAACAAATATAGAAAAAAATTCTTAGAGGCTGTATGACGTAATTTAAAAACAAGGCTTTGGCTATTTTAGGTTATGGTGTTTTTATCAAGATTTTTCTTTAAAAGAAACGTTCAAATGTAAAATAATCCAACATTTTATACATATGTATGCAAATCAAGTGTTATGTCCTAAACGGAGAAGAATTTGGCAAATTTTGCAACGCAGCATATTTAAACGAGTAGCCTAGTGCTAAACCCGCTTTGAAATGTGTAAGCGTAATCGCCAAATTAAACGACGACACTAACTCTCTGTATGAGAAAGCAAATCAAGAATTTTTTACACTCACCATTATTTACAGAGAATGCAAGAAAAATCCACCGGCCGTCAGTCAGAGGAGCTGCCGCTCCATGCCTGGAGGAGCTTCCCCGCAAACTTCTCCAAGTGTCCCAACGTGAGCGCTCCTGTCGACTCGGAGCCCCTCAACGTGTTTGAGGAGAGATTTAAAAAAAATAAAAATAAATAAATAAATAATCGCTGTCGGTCTGCAGGTCCAGGTGACGGCTTTCTGCAGACACACAGTCGGCATCGATCTTACTTCATGCTCCTCTGCAGCTCCAGGAGGAGTGTTTGCTTTCCCGGCGGTGGGGAAGTGATGTTAAGTAAATGAGCGAAGATTTTTGGTTCCTCCTCCTCCTCGTCGTCCTCCTCCTACTACCTCTGAACAGAGTGCGCGTCCTGCATAGCACGCGGCTTGAATACGTGCTGTGTGTGTGGGCGCGTGCCCCCTTTTTTTGTCTGAGCCTCTATCTCCGCTTTAAATCTTTTGTTTGGTCAAGAGTTCCGTGCCTGTTTGCACAGCGACCCGCTGATGCTCGAGACTATCTGCGTTTGTTGCAGATATGAAGATTTCCCACACTGCGCAAAAGCTGTTGACACCTTTTTGCTTATAGTCTACTTACCAGAATACCCTGAAAATTGTGACCCACTATATTTATGCAGCTTGTTTCACAAGAAATAAGATGGATTTAAGTTTATTTTACTAATCTTCGCAGTTACATTGATTTAATCGTCCTCTTTAAGAGTAAGAACATGGAGTTAATGTTCATTGTAACTAAGACAAACTAAAATCCCAATATAAATTCCCTATCATCCCATTATCTTATATTTTAGAACATGGAACACTGAAAAATTGCTTTGTTAACCATAACAGAATTTAGAATTAGAATTTAGAATTTATTGCTGTTTGTCGCTGCACAATGAGATTGAAGTCAACTCCAGTAGTATCACAGTATCATAAAATAGTTTTTCCTCATAAAGTTTGGGTTTTACATGTACATTAGCGTATGGGTCAACATTCAGACCATAAAAGTGAAATAATAAAAGCTGTTTTACAACCAAGACATATTTTCTTTAATATAAAAGAGTGGGGATGTAATGCTATTGGTATTTTTTAGGTTTAAAAATGTATTATTTTAATATATAACATTTATAATATTTTTGCTGTTAGTAGAATATCATGTTTTTGTTATTTGAATGAATCAGTGTTTGTGGGGTTTTCTTTGTCAAAAAAAAAGAGGCTTTGACATAATGTATGAAAGGTGCTATAAAAATAAACATCTATATCACTTACTGAAAAGTGTTGTTCTAGTTTACTAGCTTACCTTTCAATATTGTCACTTATTTCCTGTTGGAAAATGTGACCGAAACTTCAAGGTTAACAAAACAGGTCACGTGGAAGCAACACCTGCTGAACAGGAAGTCAGTATTTGCCTGCCTCATGTCTCTTAGGGGAACCGCCATTTCCAGAGGTTCCCTTAAAACTTAGGAAATGTGATTCAGGTGTGTCATCCTCTGTATGTGTGTGTTCATGTCTGCTTCATGTGTGACTAGCATATGTGCCATTGTCTCTGTGTATTTTCTGTAACTTGAGAATGTTTCACAGCACAGAACGTTGACTTGGTAGGAAACAGGTCCTTCTTACCAGAAACAACAGGATGGTCTTGCTAAAGTAATCTCCACAGCCACAGACATGGGATACGTGAGGGCACATCATACTATTTTACATCTGGGATGGTGCTGACATGACTGACCTTTTAATATAGGAGTAAATGACTTCCATGACTAATAAATATCTTATTATTTTCTTCAGTTGTAGTTTGCTTTTTGTGGTCAGAAAAGTAAAACAACCAAACTCTATGGATGTGCTGAAACATTTTTTTTATATTTTCTTTCGTATTTATTGATCCATAGAGCTATGTTTTCATGTTAATTCTAATAAACAGTAGCCGAGCAGATTCACTGCAAAAGAAAAATCAAAAAGGAGTGCCAAATATAGATAAGAGTTATCTTCAGTTCAGAGGAATTGCCACCCATATCTTCAATGTTGTTGCTTCACTCTCTCCTAACCAGAACTTCTTTATTTAAAATTTTGCTTTTAACAGTAGTTATTTCAGGCATCACATGAAGCAGGCTAGAACTTGTTTCATTTGGCACCTAGGTAACACCACCAGCAAGTAGAAGGAAATAAACGTAAAAACCTGTAACTTCGTAAACAAAAGAGACTTTTGTAGCAGTCAACCATGTTGGCGTTTTGAGACTACTATGAAAAAACATCTCCTTTAAACATTCCTCGTCTGAAAGTGCCAATACATGAAGTAAGATTAGATTAGATAAACTTTATTGTCCTCAAAGATCAAATTGCAAGAATTATTGCACATACTTAAAAAACATTGCAATAATTACACAATATCAGATGTAACTTTTCAGTACCAGGTTTGACTCTACAGAGAGCACAGGAGAGTATATCTGTCGGGCATATGTATCATAAGTCAGTTTCGTAATAAACCATTTTACACCTGAGGAGTCCATTTAGTATATTATGATAAAGTAGCACATTAATACTTTTACAAAACTATATCTGCAATGAAAGTAGGCTATGCTTTGGTTCTCACAAGTGTCTGCCCTCTTTGCCCCAAGAAAGGAAATGTTCAAATAAAATGTTTCAACAAACTACTAACTCCAATTTTTCTACTAAAATTGGAGGCCAAAAGGCCAAAATGTTTAGTTTCAGGTTGAGTCTTTTAATTCTTCTTGTATTCGTTTTATCTGCATTTCATCAGGTGAAAATGCAATGTTAAATAATATGAGTGTCCATAAAGCCTACTCAATGCACACACCTCATGGCAGTAAATTTATTTCATTAAAGAGTGAGAAAGTGCATTTATCTCACAAGCCATAACGTTGCTGTCAGCTATGTTCAGTACTTTGGATCAGTGTCTTTCTGCTTTGTTTAAATAAATACACTCATTGGGATATGATTAAGGCTAGCTGAGATATTGAAATCAATTGTTGTTAACATAGAAATATTAATACTGAAATATTACAGAAAAGACTGGGTTATGTTGTAAATGTAAAAAAAAAAAAAAATGTTTACGAAAACAGCCCTTAAGGTGCATCAGAGATGAGTAACTCTTTATTCAGTAAACATACAAAAATGACTTGTGTCTTATTTCTATTACACAAAGAATATCATAAAAAATACCCCTGTATTACAACCTTTCCAATACGACATAGTTCTAGAATGATTTCTGCTTCCATTTCCTCTGATAGTTTGGGGTTTGCTAAAAGTTGTACTGAGGGTTTGCAGCTGATATAGCCAAAGATATATTTAAGATTCAATTTAATGGCAGTGCAGCTACCGAGCAACCAAATGTTTCAATATTTAACATTAAAAAAATAGAACAAAGAAAAATCAAATAAAAACAAAGTGATATAATGTCACGAAAGGAAACAATAACAATAGCTTTGGAATCTACAGTGTGCTCAGACATGAACTGGGCTGCTTTTGGTCTTAAAGGAGGGGAAGCAGGCCTGTTAATCCTTTTGAGAGGAATGTAAGGTGGAGAAATAAAACCCACCATTGTCTCTGTTTTCCTCCTTAGGTCTCAGCTATCTGCTGCTTCATCTGCTGACACACAATTACTGCCATTGTGTGTTGTTATTCCGCTAACTGTCCCACAGAGAGAAACATGGTTTGTTGATTGTCAGCAGAATTCAAAGTAAAAAAAAAAAAA